TTCCTCGGCTATTATGTTGAATTTAACGGCTCTGGAGTGTGTTGATGTTTTTTAATTCACTGCGCTGGGTTTTGAAGGATTGCATTTGTCTGTTGAATCCACAGCGGATTAATGGAGGTGGGATGTCTGACTTGACTGAGATCTGGAAATGTGTCAGCATCCATCTTGCTGTCTGTCTGTCTGTCTGTCTGTCTGGTCTGTGATCCGTCTGTGGTTGTCGTCCTATTTGTGTCATACATCCCCGAGTGTGTTAATGAGAGGCAGCAACAACGGTCACAACCAAGACTGTATGAGATGTGTAGTCTGTATTCTCTCTTGGAAACTTGACCAAAGTTTTGGGTAGCGGTCCAAAAGACGAACTAGACTTAAGTTTTAATGCTCTCGTGGGTGGCACGGTGGTTTCCGTGTGGAGTTTGCATGTTCTCCTCGTGTCTGCGTGTTTTCCCCGTGTGCTTCCTCCCACAGTCCAGAGACGTGCAGATGAATCTGATCACATGTGATTGGGACGATGGATGGATGGATTTTTAAATTTCAACATCCCCTGATAAAGCCCAGACTGCTTTGATGGTTCAGCTCCTCCTGTGTTGTGATTTGTCAACAGCATTATGTCGTTCTCCGTTCTCGCTCTACGTGGCGTCGATAGCGGTTGTAACAGACTAGCTAGCAGGCTTTTTAACTGCTACGTGCACAGAAAACACATGTAGAGGCGTCTCCTTCAACACCACACACTGTCACACATGGAGAAACCACTAAATCCCCAGTCTGATGCAACTTTCTCTCACATCTGACGGCGTACATTTTCTAGATTCCAGCTGACTCCAACATCTCTGTCCCATTCACCCCCTTTTTTCCTCCCCTCTCCTCCTGCTCTCCTTCTCTTTTCTTCCGAGGCCATGTTGTTGGCTTGCCTGTTGGAAATTCAGGCCAAAATATTCAAACACAGAACAGAATATTTGCAGTGTGTCACCATTGATTTGTCTTCGGGGGGGGGGAACATCTCTGAAGCAGAAACATGATTATAAAACATGAACATCCTGGAGGAAGCCATCACATAAAGAAATATTGTCCTCAAAGCTCCCAACAGGGACGGATCTCTGGAGTGGATCCAGCGGGGAAGCACAATCGAAATGAAAAAGAAAATGGTCCTTTATATTTGTACGGGAAACTCTAATAGCCAGCATGTGATACAGATTGCATCGGAGTTGTGTAAGTGATTTCTGTTTTTAACTCTCGTCTTATCTCTTCACAGTGCCTGGGAACTTGGGCTGCTTCAAAGACAGCGGCGACCCACCCACCCTGTCGGGCACCAGTGAGACCTCCAACAAACTCACCATCCAAAACTGCATCAGCTTCTGTAGGAAGCAGAGATACAAGGTAGGAAAAGTGGGAAACGTATATGAAACAAAGGAAAACTTGTGATTCAAGAGATGTTTAGTGATATATTTTAAATCAAATGAAAGCAGTTTCTGCAGGAGAGAATATTCAGAGAAGATAGACACCTAGACGAGCACGTACCTCCTTAAATCCAATGGAGCCTGAGAGTTAAGTCAATAAAACACACTATGAAATATCCATTACGGAAAATGGCACCACAATTGAATCCGCTGGATCCAGATTTTTATTTGAATCTGCACCAAGTTGCACACACTCATGAATATCAGTCCCCCAAAAATATCACTGCCCATGGGAAATCACTGAAAATGTCAAAAATGTCACAATAATAAAGAGACAAAAAAATTAGACTTTCTGGATCCGCCCCGTCGTCCAGATCCACGCCAGAGTTATTTTTTGTCCCTTGTCCCATCGCTGCTCAGAGCTTCATGGAAATCTGGGCCGTCGTTTTTTGAAATGAAGTGAACAGGGATGGAGACGTAACGTTATTGGTGGAGCGCGTATGTCCTCAAACGTCTCCTCTCACTCGATGAATAAATGTCCTGTAAGTCGCCTGCCTCATTTCGAAAACTGGCTCCTGCAGCGTAAATGTATGTAAATCATCTGCACGTACGAGCGGCTTACTGACAATTATCACCGCGTTGCCGACAGCAGTTTATTCTTTATTCAGCCGTCAAACGTCTTGTTTCAGACCAACCGGCAGACGATGAATCATCCCGACAATCGGTGCTGACAGCTGGAAATGAACGGTTATGAGTCTAATGAACGCCTCCTCTTTGATACCTTCCTCTTGTCTCAGTATCTGGAACGCCATTGTTCCAGGCTATGGACGGTGCCAGGTGTTCATTTTCAGTCTCCGCAGATCCGGTTCAGCTGCGTCTGCATTGACAGGCCCTGACAGCTCCTCCCTCCCCTCTCACATCAGCAGATGTTTCAGGAAGGGGGGGGGGGGGGGGGGGGGGGGGGGGGGGGGGGGGGGGGGGGCTCGTCTGCCCAGACCGTCACTGTCCGTAATGCAGATGTGACACGTCGGAGCGTTGAAACGTATGGATCCCGCGTGACTGTCTGACAAAGAGCATGTCTGATGAGTGAGACAGCAATTCTTCCGAAAGTGTCACGTCGTCGTTCTCAAGCGTCAATTCATCAGATAGAATAATGCAACAAGGACGAAGCCTGATGCATGAATTCCTATTCCATGAGACGCGGAGTGGGAAGTGATGCAGTACCTTCGCTTGTGTGAATTCATTCAGGGCCTGAAAATGGGACAATGGTGTCCTTTTCAATGAAGGACAATAGGTCTTTTGAGAACAAGCAGCCAGTGGTGACGAGGTCAAGACATGTGAAGGTTTTCACATTCCTGCTTTGCCAAGTTCAGGAGCACTTCGCTAACCGCTCTGATGTGGAAGTCGGATAAAGGTGCGCTCGTCGTGAGGTTCATTCTCGACACCTTGTGCGTTTGAAAGGAGGCGGCTGAGAGATTGTGGGTTTCGGATTTTATTATCGTGAAATCGGAGACAAAGCGATCACGACGCTTTCATTTCATTTTCAAAAAAGTGTTAACACAACGTCACATGAGAAACTTTCTATAAAACTTTTTATTTTAACCTATGTTTTCATTGAATGAAAAGTTGGAATGTAGTAATTTATGATATTTTTGAACGTGTTCCCTCGGTCGCTCTTTGTTTCGCTCTCTGGCACCAATGTGCGATGGATTTAGAATGAATGGCATTATGGGAAAGAATGTTTTTATTGCTGAAGCGTTGATCTGCATATCTCCTGTCGTGTTTTGCAGCTCGCCGGTATGGAGTCAGGTTATGCCTGTTTCTGTGGCAACGAGGTGGACCTGCCCGCTCACGGCGAGTCGCCGAGCATGGAGTGTAACCACGTTTGCTTCGGCGACCACACCCAGCCCTGCGGCGGCGACGGCTGGGTCATCATCTTCGACAGTGAGTGATGACCAGTGTCACTATGTCGCTAAATCCACGAACTTCTCACAAACTCATTTCCTCACAGAAACGTGCACTTTTTTTTATTTTCAGTCCTTTACATTGAACCTGTTTGTCATAAAAAAGTAAAACTTTTCATTTTGAGATTCTTTAACTTTCAGACATTTTTAAATTGTGTCTTAGTCCTGAGATTTAGTTCAAACTCTTCCTCATCTTTAACTGGATATTTTCATCTTGTCAACATTTGAGTCTAGTTTAAGTCCCGATCATCTCATTGGATTGAAAATATCAATTCTTCTCTCTCGTCTCTCCTCCAGCCCGAGTCGGAGCGTGCGGTGGAAACTACAGCTCTCCATCCGGAGTGATCTACTCCCCTGACTTCCCCGACAGCTACGCGGCTGGCCGTGTCTGCTACTGGACCATCCAGGTTCCCGGATCGTCTGCCATCCTCTTCAACTTCACCTTCTTTGACATTTCCGATCAGACGGACATGGTGGAGCTACTGGACGGCTACACCAACCAGGTGGTGGCGCGCTTTGACTGGCGCAGCCCGCCGCGGGAGCTGGTGAACGTCACGGGCGACTTTGTCGTACTCTACTTCTACTCAGACCGCACCAACCAGGCCCATGGATTCGCTCTGCTTTATCAAGGTAGGAGCCCAGTGTCCTCTGAGGCGCAGATGAAGTTGTTTTATTCAGTCAGATGTGTCCAGATGTGTCCAGATGTTTGAGTGTGTTGGTGAGTCAGTGCGTTTAGCTTTAAGATTCATTTAGATTTTATCCATTTGAACAAACAAACAAAACACTAAATCTAGATGTGGTGGCATCACAGACACAAATAAATCAACATACGGTCTCCGAGATCTGAAAAAGTTATTTTGCTTCGATGTGAAACTGCAGCGGGTCAGAGGACGACTGTGGTTCACACAGTCAAAAACCTCCGTCTGTCTGTGTGTGTGTCCTTAATGTGTCTTGGTTGCGTTCGCCCCTGTAGTCCGAGCCGTCCACACGTGACCAGATCTCTCGGATGATGTTTAAATCCAGATCTGAAGTGTCACACCTGCTTATTTGAACCATAACCTCCTCAAACCCACCAGCAGCCACATTTGCATGCTCAGGTGTGTCCTGAGCGAACGCGCGTCCGCTCTGCGAGGCTCTTGTCACGCCACTGGCAGAACCTTTTCTCTTTTCATTTGCTAGTCAATGTCTCACAGCCGCGGGTGATACTGCATATTTAAATAATGTTTTGTTTTTCCAGGAACTCACTCTCTTATCAACCTGCAGCAGGCTGATTTGTGCTCCTTGGCGGATTTAGTTTTTTATGCCACCTACATACAAAATGCTGTGACTCGCTGCACCGCGGCCTCTGATGTCGCGGTTTGACTTTGGGGCCGAGGAGGAGCTGCAGTGCACGGAGAGTTGAAAACCTCACAGTTGATTATTGAATCTCTCCAGACGAATGTTAAAATGAAAAAAAGGAACGCCGTTGTTTTACATTATCTTCTCGCTGCCTGAATATTCTTCAATGCACCGAAAATGATTTAATAGATTAATTTCTGGGGACGTGAGCGGAACACACCCAGATATAATTCAGCGTAGGTGACATTCAGGCTCTCAGCTCGCTGCAGTGAGAGGAGATCTGTCCTCCCTCCCTCTCTCTCTCTCTCTCTCTCTCTCTCTCTGCTTCCATCTGTAATCTGCCTCACTTTTTCTCACCCCCTGCTCCCACAGTAAGAAAACAATATCACAGAGTCAAAATCCTCTGACCTCCGCTCACGTCTCGGCTCTTGTTTTTTGCGCGAGTCGTCGTGTTGCCAAGAAATGGAATCAGTGAGAAAAAGGTCACCTCCTGAAGAAACAGGTTTTTAATCCGAGCGATAGAAAAATATACAGCGAGTGACGTGCGGAGAGAAAGACAAGGGGGACAACACTCTGAGAATCTGGACTGGTAAATACGTCTGATATCTCCTCAGTGGCAGAGGGAGCAGGCGAAATGGTAATTTCACAATAAATGCTCTCAGATGATAATGGCCGACTTTGAAGCGTGGTATTTTGTTTGCAAATGGGAAACATGTGGGAAGCTCTGGGAACATCACAGTCAGGTCGAGTACGTGACAACAACGTGATTCAGACTGGAGGAGCTGCAGTTTAACATTCATAGAGAGAGAGAGAGATGGATAGATAGATAGATAGATAGAGAGATGGATAGATAGATAGATAGATAGATAGATAGATAGATAGATAGATAGATAGATAGATAGATAGATAGATAGAGAGATAGATAGTTAGAGAGATAGAGAGATAGATAGATAGATAGACAGATCAGTCACCAGCGCTGAAAACTCTGTGTTCAAGTAACGCATTTGATTTATCATCTGTGTTGTCATACAGCTCCATACAGGATTATAATTACAGTTGCATTGATTCGGGATCTCGGATGCATCTGTTATCTTTTTCTTCCTGTTTATTCTCGGTGTTTCCATTCTTTGTTTGTGGAAAATAAGGAAAAAACAATATCTCACTTGTATGTGGCCACAGTCAACAGATTGTTGACAGATTCCTGGGAGGTTTCTCTTTACTGCAAATTAAGATGTAAGGAAAATAATGAAAGAGTCAAGCGAAACACAAATAACCAGCGTGAGACTTTCCCAGATGTGTTTAAAAATCCTCAGCATCAGCTGTTTTAAAATAAATCACATCTATGTTTAGGAGAAGTAAATGAAAGGCAGAGGAGATCGTATTGAGGATATCGTTTTCCTCTGGGAACACGTAAAATTCGGAGGAAATGGTCGTCAGTCTCGGTGGTTTTATAAATCAAACTTGTCTGGTGCAGGTTGAAACAGAAATTACTGCAAATCGAACTGAATCACGTCTGGAGCGAACGGAAGAGAAGCTCTGCACCACAAGTTTACAGCAGAGTCGATCCGTCTCTAACAAACGCCGTCAGAATGAAATAGCTACTTGTGACTGTGCTGTTTACACTTTCAACAGCGTGATCAACACAGCGTATCCAGTGACTGTGCACTTCCTGCAACAGGCCTGTTTACCCACAGGAATGATTAAAGGGCCGTTAAGTGATCTGTGTTCTCGACTCGTAGGAATCACTCAGCTTCTCCTCCTCTGTGTCCCAGCACTCCTCTGCCTGTGAAAACCCGTGACACTCAGAGAGTCGCTTTTTGAATGTGATTTTCTGTACCGCAGAGAACTGTGCTCTAATTAGAGCTGGGCACAAATAAATGATATTAACAACATTAATAAGAAAATGGAAAGTCCAACTTTACTACTAAGACTGAGAAATGGGTTTGCATGCACGAATGATTAAAAAGACAGTTGTGTAAAAATCCAGATGTATAATCGATCACAGACATATTGGTATCTGCGATTGTTTGCAGATATGAAAACTTTAACTTTATAGAATAAACACAGCAGAAACGTCGTTCATTTATGTTTAAAGATTTTACTTTAGTTGATTTATGTATTTTCTTAAGTCAAGTTCAATATATTTGGTCGTATTTATGGTTTCAAAGAAGGTTTCTGCTGAAAATAATGTGTAGATAACGTGTAGAAGTGATGGTACAGTTCATATATAACCGTGAAAATCACTTCACGTGATAAATCGATGTATCTGAACTGATGCGTCCGTAAGAGGTCGGGTCACCAAAGTGACCACTGAGGGTTGATGTTAATGTTTCCATGGAAATCACCGAGATGATTCACATCCAACGACAAACAGACATTATGACGAGCTCGTCTATAAAAGTTAAAGATCAGTTGAAATCATAAATTTAACAGAACTGTGATGACACAGTTTGGTTTTATTGTCATGATGTAATCACTTTGATCACCAACATACAATAATACAGTTAATGCCCCACCCATCATTAATCTACAACTTTATTACTGCAGTCTTCATATTGTGTTTATTCGTTTCCATCCTCTTGGCTTGAGAACATGTGATTTAACCACTGAAGTTGAGATATTCTCTGGCTGCTCGAGCGCATCATCATCATCATCATCATCATCATCATCATCTATCACTGAGCGGCTGAAAATGTGTGTGTGTGTGTGTGTGTGTGTGTGTGTGTTCTTCCAGGCATGTGTGTGTTTGGGAGGGGTCGAGGTTTTTGAAAATGCCAGTGCCTCAAGATATTTCTGCGTCAAAGCGGAGCCATTAATCTCAGCACCTGACGACGTCCTGTTCAGTTCAGCGGCCATGACACCGCAGACGTGTTGCTTTCAAACTCCGGTCGATTCTCACCTGCAGCTCGATCGCATGAGAAGTAACACTGATCCGTCTGTGAACCTTTTGTGAATTCTTGTTCCCTCAGCTTTGAGAAGCCAGGACACCAGAACAATGGAGGCCGAGGGAGACGATGAGGAGGAGGGCGAGGACGTCTCCAGCACGGCGGGGCCTCAGCTGGCGGCCGGCGGCGGCGGCGGCGTCACCGAGCGATCCAACAGCACCTCCAACGGACGTTCCTCCCAGATCCTCTACGTGATCACGTCCAGCCCTGGAAAACCGGAGCACAACATGCCAGGTCAGTGGGCTGGACGCGGCGAGACCACCGGCCACAGCGCTAGTATGTGAACTCCCATGATACACTGCACCTACCGCACCTTTCTCCGTCTCTTCTGGCGTGTTGTGGGAGGTGTCTCGACTAGAAGCATGACCTGTTCTCTCTGAAAATCCTCTGAGCGTGCTGCGATGCTGCTGGAGGCTCAGTGACTTCCTGTGATTGTACAGAGAAGTTGTTTTCTTCCCTGTCAGTGACTCGTCAGTTGCTGTGTCTCCCTGCTGATCACAATCAGGCCTCTCGTCAAAGCCACTCGTGGCAAACTGACTTCTTCTTCTTAAAACTTCCTTCAAACATTATTGTTTCCGAACTCGGTCTGGAAGGCCCGTCTGATGTGTTCCTCATCCAGAGGGGAACAGATGTGCGCTGATAATGCATCAACGTTTCCTGACAATTTGCTGGCTGAACACCAGCAGTGCTCGAAAATAATTCTCCGCTTGCTAATCCTTCCAGTCTGCTTCAGTTTGTTTTCATTACCACGACGCGTCTGACGTCTCCTTCCTGCGTTTCTCCGTCTCCGCAGTGTGGACCATCTACGCCCTGGCCGCCCTCCTCATTCTGACCGTCATAGCCATGGTGGCCAAGCTGCTGCTGCACATCACAGTCAAGTAAGTACGATCGGCCGAGCATCAAATGTCAAGGCGCATGTCTGTGGGTTTTTTATTTCATGCATGTCGTGTTGGAAATAAAAGAGCAGGATGACATTTGATGTGATTATCACTTCTTACAAATTCTTCTTCTGACCGAACTTTTTTTGTTTGGAGTCAATCCCAGTGAAAGATTAAAGATCCAGTCTGATAATCCTGCTCACACCAGTGGTCACAACAAGCAGTGTCCACTCACTAACTCTGTCCTTCTTAGAAATTCTATTCGGGTATCAACCTCTCAATATTCTGCCATTTTCTCAGGCCTCTGCTTGAAACGTACCCAAAATGAATAATGTATATCTCCGCAACTACAAGGTCTATATATAAATAATGTTATTATCTATATAACGGTGACGCTTGTGAGATTTCTGCCGAGGTGTCGGCATTAGTATGAATGTTAGTGGGGCAGAGTAAATGAAGACGGAATACAACATAAATAAATTAATATCCGCCTAAAAAATAATGTTTTACAGCTAATGTCCCAGATTAAATCACGACCTCGACCACAACACAGCACGATATCTCTAGATATCCATTTAATCTAAATATAACTTTATATCAAATAAACTGCTCTATGAACAGAACTCGACGTCATGTGTTTGTTTTGATTCCTAAACACACTTCACTGCTAAATGATGCAACGTAAATTGAGATCGTTTTAATTATTTAATTAGTTTATTTAATGGATCATTTGAAAGTGCTGGATAAGGTTAAGTAAATGTCAAGTCAAATGAAAGATAATGGAGCCTATTAAAACTTCCTACACACTGTACAGTAATTGCCATTGGGTGGAGTTGGTAATTTGCCAGACATGAATTCAACGTTAAGAAAACACAGTGTGACACTAATTATAAATCCCCTTCAATCTTTAACCCTTCACTGTTCTTCCATCTTGATTGTTTTCCTTTACATTGTTGTCTCCTCCCTCATCTTCTCCGTGTTCCTCTCCTCAGGTCTCCCAACATCCCGACAGTCAGCGGCTCGGACAGCTGCAGCCAGAGCACAGCGTCCTCTGAGCCCTGGATCATCCTGTACCGACCCTCCACCATCTCCCTCTTCAAGAAGAAGCTAAAGAACCACCACGGCGACCTCAGCCCCCTGGTGGGCAACTAGCGCAAACCGCTGCGCTTCGCCATTGACCAACGCTACCGCCACCCACAACTATTCTGTACAAGGGCCATCAGATGTCAGGCCCCTCAGACAATGAAACTCTATGAGGTGCTGCGCTGACAAGCCAACGACTGGGTGGCTAATGACAATGATAGTGACGGCTGCGAAAAAGGCCCACGGGCCAGAGTGGCTGCGCCCTCCCATCATGCTCAGCACCAAAGAGGAGAGGGACAGGCAGGGCTGTCAGTGACCACGGTGTGGGAGAGGAGAGCCGATCTGCAGCTCTGACAAAGACACGATGATGCTTTTAACACGCAGGAAGTTTCCTCTGGCCAGAGAGGCTCCATTTTCAGTCCCACCTCCCGACGCCATCCGGTGAAAACCCCACACAGCTGCTGGACTGAGGCTAACTTCACTGACAGCTCGGGAGGTTTTCCTCCTCCTGCTGCTCCAAGAGCTCCCGAGCTCATCACAGCATCGTCGGCATCGAGGAGAGGACGAAGAAAATGGAGTCAATGACACTCACACACCTCCAGTACACTGTAACCTGTTAGAGCTCAGCAGCGTCACACAGCTCTTCTATCTGCCTCATACGGACGACACACACACTTGCAGCCAAAAACCATAATCCTCCCGAACACGGAGCGTGTATCCATCTGTGTTTTTGATTCCGTCTGCAAAGTGCTGATGTTTCTTTTTCTCGTGTTTTACATGAAAACCAGTTTTCTGAGGAGAGGGAACCAGGACGTGGAACAACGTCACACAGAGCGTAGATATCGCAGCACTTTGGGGTGGAGTCGCTCGCTGTTGAAATAAAAAGATCAGAGACAACGAGAGCGCGCTCGCCCACTCACTCACTCACTCACTCACTCGACACTCAGTGGATCTGGGTGGAGAGAAGTTAAAGTGGGTGGTGGGGATGGCGGGGGGGCAGCAGTTGGCTGACAAACTGCCATTTAGGGAGACTCGGGAAGATCTGAGGGGCTTTTTTCTGCTCGTTTGTGGGTGGGAATCTTTCCGGTTTGATGGTGTTCAAGTGCCTTAAGGATCCTCCTCTTCCCTCATCTCAGATTCCTCACATCTGTTCCTTTCGCGAAGCGAATCGAGGTCCTTCACAAAAACATCTGCACTTCTCTAAAAATCTGTGGTTGTGAAGAGTTTCATTCCAAAACAATGTAAAAAAAAAAAAAAAAAAAAAAAAAAAAAAAAAAAAAGATGCCATATCTTGTACAGTGATTGATGTTTTTTTTAAATCATAGTACACTCAACGGAAAACCTCTCCAGACTGGATCTCTTTCATTTTTTGTTGATTGATTGATTGATGATTTATCTTTTTGTTTTCCTAAATGAACTTATAGCCTTTTCTGGAATCCAGCTCTTCATGTAGTAACAGACGAGGCTTTAAAAGAAAGATGTTTGTTTCTAATTTCTGTCTATGCTCTTATGTGTAGTCTTGGACATTTACTGAACATATTGTTCACATTAAGTTGTCTTTTGATTAATGGGGGGGGGGTGAATATTGTTGTACATTATGTAATTCAGTGTGGGATGATATTTATGTCTGCTCTTTTATTTTGTGTCTAGGAAACACATTCCAGAGATCTGTCAACGTACTTTCTCATCAACCAAACACAAAAAGTGGGATGCATTTTTTTTTTTTTTTCTTTCTTTCTCCTTAGGCTGCAGCAAATTGCCTGAAATCACAAGATGCTGCAGAACCCTGAAGCTTTTACTTACCGCCTTGATTTCAGGCCAAGAGGTTTTAGCGCAAACAACACAACCAAAAGCACTCATTGGTACTATGCACAAGCTGTCAGCAGATCTGCAGCCGTGACGGGTTTTCTGTGCATTTGCTGTGACATTTAAACTACTTGTGAAAGGTCAAAGTCTACTAGTTCACCATTGGCATAGTAATTGGTCTTTCCTGATCATGGACATGAGGCTCATGTGGGTTTCTGCAGACGGTCAGACCCAAAAAAACCTTCGAACAAACTGTCAGGATAAAATACTGAAGAGATACGAACAGCAATGCACTTAAATTGGCTTCACCTTGCACCTTTTTTTTTCACTTTTGCAATTTCGGTGACAAGAGAGAAAAGGTACTTTTGTGCAGCAACCTGAGCACTTGAGACAAAACGTCGTGTTTTACACACAACACAACACAACACAACCCCAGAGTTACAGTCAAGTCAAAACGTGTAATTTTCAAGAATCAGAGGGAATCTGAAGCCTGTGAAAACATCAACAACCGCTCTTTCCCAATGAGATGTTTGTAACGAAATGCGACCGTACTCTGTTCTGCCTGTCTGCTCAACTGGAACTCATGTTAATTATTGCAAGACAACAGCACATGCCCCTGGCTCTGTGATGTTCAGAGCAGCCCATGCGTAGAGAGAAGCGAGAGCGCGGATGTGAGAGGGATGGGAAATGAATGTGCGTTTAAATCTAACACAAGCTAACAACATCTGACAGTTTAAATCTAACAGGGGCATATTTGTTTGGATAGCCTGGCGAATTATGCAGACTCCCATTTTCTGTCCCGTCCTCCAGTCAATTGGAAAATTCCACACTCACCTTCTGAGCGAGCGTGGAAACAGGCTTTTCCCAAAACTGTAGTGGATGTGAATGTCCTGTGGTGGTCGATGACATGAAAACATTCACCTGAAGCCCCCTGGGAGAAAAACCATGAGGGGCCGAAACATTGTTTTTTCATGAAATTGTAAATAGCAGAATAGTGAAATTTTTAATTTATACAGTAAATTATTGTTATTTTGTATGTGAATGGGATATAATCTATCTTTTGTATAAGTGAAGTACCTTTGTAGTTTTATTTAATGTGTCCTGGTTGCAAAATAAACACTGTATGCATGTTTCTTAAGCCTGTGTGGTGCTTGTTCTTTCGTTTCGCTGCGTCCTTTCAGTAAAACACTATTTATTTCGTCATTGAAGATAATATTAAATACCCGAGTTGCTGAGAAGCACACAAATGCTGGATCAAGCTAATCCCGTTCACTCTTTCCGTTTGAAACCTTTTCAAACGGCGCAAAGTGATTTTGTAAAAATCTGTTTGACTCAAACAGATTTGGGCCTCAGTGTTTCCACGGCGGGACATCTGCAGCTCCTTTTTGTGTGAAGCTAAACACTTATCAGATTCGTGAAATGACTCCCAGACTGTTAGCAGATGCACAAACACGGAGGGAGGATTTGGCCGTGCCATATGTAACCCATTCTCCCCCCCCCCCCTGCCGAGATGAGGTCAAGCATGCAACCTGCACATTTTTAGAGGGAACAGCAGGAGGCCACCTTTACCACTGGAACACCATGAAAAAAAAACAAACATGGAAGGACGTGTAATAAACTGGAACACATGGGGGATGTTTGGACGCATGATTTATGAATACATGAAAGGTGTTTCTCTCGTGAAACGGTTTTAAAGGCCTCGATTTGTTTGTTTGTTGGCGGAAAGACTGGAACAGAAAAGCTCTGAATGATCCCATGTTTTCAAGAGTGTCCAAACAGGCTCCTATAGAAATGCATCCAGAATAATGAGGGCAAATACCTTTTGGCTGGAAAACCAAGATCAAGTTACCAGTTACCAGTTTGTTTGTTTGTTTGTTTGTTTGTTTGTTTGCAGGATTATGCAAAAACTTCTCACTGTCCATGACATTCTGTGGAGGGGACATGACCCAGGAGAGAACCCATCAAATTCTCCTGTGGGTCTGGATCAGGGTGTGGATCCAGGTTTCTTTTTTTCTTACTCTAACATCAGACAGTTTACAGGACTGATTTCTAGGTGCAATTGTGTGCAGATCCAAATAAAAATCTGGATCTAGTGAATTTAAATGTGGTTTCATAAGGGGACTGTTGGACCTACTGAGTGTCGCTCTATGGTTTTATCATGTTATTATTCTACTGATCATGAAGGAACCAGTGAAAACAAAACTATCTCTTCATCAGAATCTCTCTCAATTCAATTCAAGAGACAAGACACAGTGAATTGTAAATAATCCTCTCACTCCCCCTGCTGGTGACGATGAAAACAAGGCCCAGTCACGATTGTTCCCTCTGATATTATAAAAAAAAAAAAATCAAATAATCTTTATTGGCCAAACATGACCACAGATATGACTAAAACATTGATTAGATTTAAGTCAAAATACCTAAATGAAACTAGAGTGGCTCTCAGAGAGTTTCTACACCTGCCAAGGCCCAAGTGTCTCTTTATGAAACCACATTTAAAATGTAAAATTGTTTTCATCAAATTCACTTAATGAAAATGTGAAAAAAAACACCCGTCTCACATTGTTAAAATAAATCCCTGGACCCGGCCCCTGATTCCGATCCGCACCAGAATTGAACGAGTCCTTTCCTGACCCATGTCGCATCTTTCCACCAAGTTTCATGATGATCTGTCCAGAAGTTTTTGCCGAATCCTGGAAACAAACAAACCAACTCAACTTCAACTCTTATATTTGTTCACTGAGGTATTTTTGTCCCCAGTGTAACTTCTCTTATCAATACAACTCAAGTGAAATAGGTTCATAGGGCAGACAGACGTTTGAGGCCTTCCACACTTCCTCTCCTCTCAGTGTTTTTCCTCTCATCAGCCAGACATACCTCCACTCCTCTGGGTCGCTGTGAAAAGCCTCGGCCTCTCCAGTCAACCTTCCCACAGCCGAAGGAAAAGAAAGCGGCGTAAGCTGATCGCCCTGAACCCAAGTCGACCAGTAATTAAAGCAACAATGGGACAATGCTGGGCCAGTGTCTGGTTACTGTAAGAACGAGAAAGTGAGAAGAATGGAAGACAATACCTGTCGCTCTCTGCACTCAGGCTACCGAAGGTAGCCAGATTAGGAGAGAGGAATGACGGAGCAACAGAGGGACCTGGTCTCTGATGATGGAGGTGAAAAAAAAAGAAGTGCGTCAAAGAGGTTTACTGGCCGTGCACGAACTTGTCTGTTTGGATCTGCCTTGATCTGCAATACTGTCTATGACCCTGGTGCGATTAAGGTAGTGTTATGCCCTTCAGTGGTTTCGAGTACGTGCGTCGGCCTGTTTAATTCTCCAGACTTTCCTGCTATTATTGTAGCTTGAAGCCGCCGAACACTGTTTATATACACGACTCCTCCACATCTGCCTCCGGGGTCCACGATCAAGGATGAAAATAATCAAGAGATCATGTGAAATATGTTAAAAATGTGCAACTTACAGTGTTTTAAATGTCAGAGTTTTCTCTGTTTAATATCATCAGAGTTTGAGTTGTAGAGCTGGTTGATGTAATTTCCACCATCAGGGGCTCAGTGCCCAGCTCCCTCTGTCTACCTGTCAAAGTGTCTTTGAGCAACACACTCAACCCATAATTACTCCTCAAACTAATGTAGTGTGTCAGTTTGTTAGTTTAGTGTTATTTATTTATATTTCTTTGGCTTCAACAATAATGATATTTCTGATGTGATACAGGATTTCAAATATAAACTGAACAAAAACATTAAGCAAAAAATTTAAACATGTATTTTATGGTTTAGGTGGTTTGATTTACAGCAACACGTGTTGGTGTGA